CCAGGCCCCACCCTGCCCGGAGGCAGCCAAGCCCAGAACCAGGACCCAAGCCTCTTCTCGAAGTTTAAAGTCTCAGCAGGTTTAGATTCCTTCTGCGAAATGCCAGGAGTAATTAGGCCAGATGGGCGCGCTGCCTGCCAATTTCCCTCCCTCCCTCCCTCCCTCACTCCTTTTTCTGAGAAAAATCAAGGCCGTTCTCAGTTAAATGAGAACAAAAAATGCATCCAAAACCCATACATGATCGCGGAGTGTGTGCGGAGCTGTTACACTCAGGATTTGTCACCGCTCAGCTCTTCCCCTTCCGCGCGGGCCCCGCCCCTCCTCTAAGCCGCTCTGCCAAAGCCCAGGCGCCCACGGCACAAGGGGCCGCCTTCCCTGCGCCAGGACAGACACAGGCCTGGAGGTGCCCACGGACACAGGCCCGGGAGGCAGCCCATGGACACAGGCCTGGAGGTGCCCACAGACACAGGCCCGGAGGTGCCCACGGACACAGGCCCAGAGGTGCCCACGGACACAGGCCCGGGAGGCAGCCCATGGACACAGGCTTCCCTGCCAGACTGGGCTGGGGTGATGGAGGGGACCAAAGCCAGGGATGGGGTGTCTGGCCTTCACCCTGGGTGTGGGGGGACAGCAGCCAGGGAAGCGACAGGGACGGAGACCACAGACTCGGACACAGAGCAGGCCAGGCCCGAGTTGTTGTGTGTTTTTGTGAGTTTTTTATCCTCACCTGAGGACATTTTTCCATTGATTTTTTGAGAGAGTGGAAGAGAGAGGGAAAGACAGAGAGAAACATCGATGTGAGAGAAACACATCGGCTGGTTGCCTCCTGCACAAGCCCCGACCAGGGCCCGGGCCGGGGAGGAGCCTGCAACCAAGGTACGTGCTCTTGATCGGAATCGAACCCAGGACCCTTTGGTCCACAGGCCAACGCTCTACCCACTGAGCCAGACCAGCCAGGGCCCGAGTTTTAACTGAGTCCCCAGGCCTGACTTCAGTCCATCTGTTCCTTCACCCATTCGTTCACTCAGTAGCTCTCTGAGGACGGCCGATGCCATCAGCTCCTGGGCACTGGCGTGAGGTCCACAGACAGAGAGGCAAGGGCAGGGCCTCAGATGTTCTCGTGGGAAAAAGATGAGAGAAACCAAACATCCCGGCAACAAGGCCGGCCGGTCCTGGAGCACAGGGCCCGCGGGGAGAGGCCAACCCGGACGCCGCACGTGGGCGAAGGGACAGGACAGAACCGCCGGGCCAGCAGGTGCCCGGGACACCCCAGAGAGGAGCCAGCTGCACAGTGGCCCCCTGGCACCGATGGGGGGCCCAGGCCTGCCAGGTCAGATGCGAAGAGACAGACAGAGCAGTGGGGATGTCCCTGTGTGTCTGGGCCAAGCACTTGGCTGAGAGCCAGCCCTGCCCCTACGAGCACGGCGTCCCTTCCAGGCCTGGGTGACGTGCTGGGCTTCCGCAGGCGGGTGACCCGGAGCCACAGGCAGAGGGAGCTGTGGCTCCCTGAGAGATGGGAGCCCCAGGTGACAGCCGGGGCCATGGCCACGGCCAGTGGGACCTGGCTGCCGGCCTCTGGCCTCCTCTCTCCCACTGACACCGCTCAGGCCCTGGAAACCACACTCCATTCTCAGAATGCCCACGCCCCCCTCAAGCCTCCCGCCTGTACCTGGCCTGTTCCCTCTGCCTGCTACACCCTTCCCGGCCCCTGAGGCTGCTGTGTCACCCCAGCTCCCACGGCTTCCACTCCACGGCTCCCATTGAATCAAGGGATTGGCCTCTGACACCTTTGCAACCTCCTCTGGAGAGGGCACTGTCACTCCCATTTCCCAGGAGAGGAAACTGGGGCACAGAGAGGTTAAGTGACTCCCCCAGGGTCACACAGCCCTTAAGAGGTGAAGCCAGGATGTTTTGTCCTAAAGCCTGCTGTTAAACTCTATAGAATATAACATTTTAAAGGGGGGTTGGGTATGTGGGAGATGTCAAGGAGGCAGGTTATTAAAAACTTGTGGGCAAGAGATCTAGGCCAGATTCCCTGGTCTGGCGCCCGAGGGCCTCCCATCTGACCCTCCAGACTCTCTACCCCATCCCGTCCACCCTCACCTGCACCTTAACCCAGACCTGCCCCAAGCTCCGCTGCCTCCGGGCCTTGCTCACTCGGCTCCCCTCCTGGCCTGGGCTCCCCCCCTGCCCGGCAGACTCGCCCGCCTCCTCACCTGTCCCTGGCACTGAGCTCCCCACAGCCCTGAGTGCCCACCGGTGCTTGCCGGGACCTCATGGGCTGCAGGGAGGGCCACAGAGACCCTGTATGTGGTGAGGACCAGGAGGCAACAGGGGGCACCTCCTGGGCTCAGGAAAGCTGGGACGGGCTGGCATCTCCCCTCTCTCCCTGAGGAGGCCTTGGCAGGATGAGACCAGGCCCAAAGCTGCCCACTGCCTCAGAGGGTCAGCATTGGCACCATCCAGGGCAGCCCAGGGGTTCCCCAGACACACTGTGACGGCAGCAGCTCTCCCTGAAGTCCCTGCACCCACACAGGCTCATGTCCCCCCAAATAGCCCCTCAGCCTCCTGCATGTGCTGCTCTGGCTGATGGCGCCGTCTCAGGCCCTGCTACCCACCCTCTGTACCCACGGCTCTTCCTTCCTGGCTCAGATCACCCACCTCTCCAGGGAGCCCCGCGGGATCGGAACCCACTTTCAAGCACAGTGGTCTGTCCCTGCAGTGTCTGGGACCCACCTCCCCCTCCAGCAGCTGGCACCCTGCGGCTATTGCCAACTGGGTCGCCAAGTGCCAGTCTGTCCACCTGCAGGGCGGGGACAAGAAATCAGTGCCCCAGGCTGAGCAGGATCCGAGACAATGCTCATAGAGACCTTAGCCAGGGCCTGGCTTCCTGTGATCGCTCAGGAATGATTGGCTGCCACCACCCTTATCACCGTCATCTTAATCATCACCATCACCATGACCATCATCATCACCATCACCATCACCATCATCATCATTGCCATCATCACCATCACTATCACCATCACCATCACCATCACCATCACCACCATCACCATCACCATCACCACCACCACCACCACCATCACCATCACCATCACCATCACCATCATCATCATCATCACCACCCTCACATCATCACCTGGGCTCCCGTGACCCAGTGACCATCTCACTGAACAGTCATGACCCATCCTCACCTTGGTCCCCACCAGCCAGGTAGCTCAGCGATGAGGCCTGACCACTCTGTGTCCCCAACAGACAATGGGGACTGGGTGTGTACTTGTGACTTAAACAACTGCCCCACTTCCGGCCCCCCCCCCCCGGCCTCAGCTCCCTCCGCCCCGCGCGGGGCGCACTCACCACGGGGAGCCGTAGACCCGGAAGCCCCGCACGGTGACCTCCGAGTCCTGCAGGTAGATGCAGTTGGTCAGCAGCGACTGCACGTTCTCGTAGTTCTCCGGCTTCAGCTTCGACACGGACGGGAAGTAGTAGAAGTCCTGCTTGATGAGGTCGGCCATGAACTCCTGGTCAAAGGTCAGCTCGTGGTTGCCGGCGATCACGACCTTGTACTCGTAGGGCAGGCTGCCTGCGGGGCGGACACGGGCGACACACGCATGCTGCTGGCCGGCCCGCGGACTCCATTTGGCAAAACTTTTGGGGTTTTTTACATTTGAGTTTGTTGCCAGCATAAAAAATATTCCAGAGGTTCCCAATAAAATGTCATTCCATTTCCTAAAATCAATCCCCTCTAAAATCTGATGATCCCGCCAGTCCCGTGCTGAGCATGTGTCCCTCCCGCAGGCGGGAGGCAGACTTCAGTGTGCCCCAGTCCCCACCTGTCCCTAAGCTCACCCAGGCCACTCCACTCAGGTCCAGGTATCACCCTGCAGGGACTGCGGTCCCTGAGACACGGCGGGAACAGACCTGGCCACCGTCCCCTGGGGCTCCCACGCGGGTGGAGATCGGCCCCCCAAGCCCCTCCCACCTCCCCACCTTGCCCACCCCATCGGGCCTGGCCCCAGGAGGTGAGCAGCCAGCCCGCCCCCACGCAGAACAGCCCCGGCAGCCGGAAGTAGCCGTGTCTGCTTCACCCATCTCCGTCCCCACAGGTCCCAGCAGGTTGGGCGAACGAGGCCCCGACAGCACCGCAGGGTGACAGGGTGCAGGGGGGCCCAGCAATGGCGATGCTCAGACTGCCCACAGCCAGAGGAGAGATCCGCTGGGCCTGGGCAGCTGGGGGAGGCACAGAGGACGCAGAGAGAGGACTGCCATTTCCTGAGCCCCACTGTCGGGCGGCCACCCCAGGTGAAAGGCTGGGCCCCCCGGAACCTGCCAGGCGGGCTGTCACCTCCGCCTTGCAGCTAAGAACAGGCCCCACGGTCAGGCGCCTGCCCTGGCCCCACAGCAGGTGAGCGGCAAGGCCACACTGGAGGTCAGTCCTTGTGACCCCACACACGTGGGTCAGCAGGTCAGATTCCAAGGCCACCAGGCCCGAGCCAGGGGGACCCCTCACGGAGCCCCTCGCCACGCTGCCGACCGCTCCCAGCTCTGATTCTCAGTTTCACGGCACCCACGCACTCCACACCGAGCGCTGCCGGCTGGGGAGCCGGAGCTGCACTAATGCGTGTAAGTCATGTCTCCGACTGGGGGCGTTCCTGAAGCAAATTAGCCAATTACTCCAACTGTACAGTTTCATTTATCTCCGCAGCTCTGTCTCCCGGGAATCAGGGACCGGGGATCAGGGAGTGAGCAGGAAGCTATCAGTGGTCCCCTGTCCCTCCCACCTCAGGAGGGCGTAACTGAGGCTCTTCCCGCCCAGGGAAGGGGGGCAAGGCTCCTGTACACAAAGCCTGGGGGGTGGGGGGGAGTGGGAGGAAGGAGCCACAGTACATTCGCATGACACCCTCCGCATTGTCTGGTTTCTCCCAGGAAGGCGGGCGCCACGGGGCTTGGACGCAGGGGATGTGTCTGCTGGTGAACACAGAAACTGCCCACCACCATGCCCTCCTGAGCCACAAACATGTCTGCCGAGACGTCCACCTGGACGCGACAGCTCACCCGCTGTGGATAATGTTCACAGACACCAAGTCTGACTCTCCCCGTTTTACATCCGGGAAAACCGGCGCTCAGAGAGGTTGCCTAAGGTCACACAACTCAAACCACGGAGGGCGATGGGCGTTTGATCATCTTTGTGGCTTGGCCTCCTCCAGCTCATCCTGAAGTGGCACTCCAAGCCATCAGGTGGACGGGCGGGTGATGGGCGGATGGATGGATGCATGGATGTGTGGACGGATGGATGCTCGGATGGGTAGATGATGGATGGATGCATGGATGGATGGAGAGATGATGGATGGATGGAAAGTGGATGGATGGAGGGGGATGGATGCATGGATAATGGATGGATGGGAGCATAGATGGGTGGATAAAGCGTGAATGGATAGAGAAATTGATGGACAGAGATGTGTGGATTATGGATGGATGAATGGAGAGAGAGAGATGGATGCATTTATAAATCAATCAATCCATTACTCCAACTGCACAGTTTCATTACTCCCACCGTACCGCTCTCCAAGCCCCTTCCGCCTCCCCACTCGCCCATCCAGTTGGAGTAATTGATTGACTGGTTTCTAAGGAGCTGGTTCTGTCTCCTTTCTACCAACTGACCTCAGTCTCCCTGCACCCCCTTCCTCCCCTCCAACCATCTTGGCAGGGCGTGTTCTTCAGACCCTCCTCCCTCACCCCGCAGCCCTGACTGCCCGTCTCTGAATCTTCTCCAGTTGGGCCTGCTCTCTTGCAGGTTGGGGTAGAGGAGCCAGAACTAAGGCTCTGGTATGGCCTATCACAGAGTGAGGTGGAGAAGTCCCCTCCTCTGTTCTGGGACTGCTACCTCTGTTGTTACAACCAAAGGCTGCATTAGCCTTCAGGTGCCCATGTGATGCTGCAGCTCTTACCACCCTGACTGTAGATATAAATGCCATTGACCAGTCATCACAGGAGTCTTGATTAGCTTCACCTTCCCCTCCTGGAATGGGCAGTGAACGAGAGGAGGTTTGGGGGCCTCGATGACTGACTGGCTGGCAGGGGCCTTGTGGGTGAGAGAGACGAGATGAATTCATGCTCTTCTGCCCGATGCCTGCACACAGGAGACTGTGTCCTCTCTGCCCCTTCCAGCTCTTGCCTTCCCAGCAGCAGGGAAGAGGCTGGCACCCAGGGGCGCTGCCAGTGCCTGATGGAAGCACCCGATGGGAGCACCTGATGGGAGTGCCAGCCTGGCAAGGGGCTGGAGGTGCCTGGATTCCAGGACAGGGTGCTCCCTAGGTAGGTGTGAGGAGGGATGAGCAGTGTCAACCCTGGAGGCTAGAACGTACTGCCACGCTGGGACCAAGCACGGCACAACGTGGGAACCAGAGAGACAGCCTGTGTGAGGCCCGGGATGGACAGGCGGGCGGCTGCTCACGTGTCTGGGCGGCTGCTCAGGTGTCTGGG